TTTGGCACCGTTACAGCCTATAATAATCCACTGCTGGACATAGGCCTCCCATAAAGATCGGATTTGTATTTATCGTAGGGAATAGGGGATATTTGCTATAGTCGTCTGGCTTGGAAAGCGAGTCGGCAACCGCAGTGTTTTATTATTAGTCGTCATTAGGAAGACGCTGATACTCAGCTCCTGATTTGTTTCCCTCTGTCGCCTCTTACGAAACCCACGGAATGATATGTGGTAGTAAATATTCTTTCACCGCAACTACACGGCTTTTTAAGACGTCAGTACCAGACGACTCGCAACAACGCCTTATACGTGGTAGAGTCATGCTGCAGTTATATTAGAGGTATATTTGGAGCACGAATGGGTCGACGAGAACCGGAGACTCTTTTTACTGGAAACGAGGCATTCCATCTTAGTCCTCACGGGTGACAACGCATCTGCATTTTGATTCGTAATCGAGGATAGATGTAGGTATCTATGGGCCACAGCAAACACTTACGGTGGACTGTGTGCTCGTTTGTCACCCTATCCTATAAAAAAACCGTGACGCTGCTTATCGACACTGATCTGGCTATTCGACGTCTGGTGTAAGCGTTAGTCATAACGTGATCTATCGGAAGTCATATAATTTAACTGGCATTTGTCATAGTTACTTATTGGGTTACCCACCTGAGGAAGTAGGACCTACGATTTTATACCGTTACCACAAAGAATAAGCTAAGCATACTCGTAGCGTCATTTTTTTTTATAAAAGAATATTAACAATGCTATAAACATTACTAATATTCCCCTTAACCACTCGTGGTATGCATAAATTGCTTGTGTTACGAGTGGTTCACGCCAGTAGTCAAATGGCGGATTCGAACCCACGACCTTTTTGAGTTCGCGGTCCGCGCCCAGCCATTAGGCTACTATCGCTTAAAATTCAAACACCCAATATTTTGTTATTAATTTTTTTTGTGTAATCACGATTTTTTATCTCTTTTTATTTTAATTTCAGATGTTTCTTTTCTGTGCCTACTTCGCTCTTACGATGATTATTGCTTTAATAATCACGATTTTCATCGACATGCCGTTTGCGACCCTCTTTAAAATGCTATTAGATAAAGGTACGTTGTTTTCAATATGTTTAAAAATATCGTTAAAACTTGAGAGGTGTCAAGGGACACCTGGATGGAAGCAAGGTCCTATATATACTCTCTCGACTTCGTAAACACACACACACACACACACACACACACACACACACACACACATATATATATATATATATATATATATATATATATATATATATATATATATATATATATATATATATATATATATATGACGCGTACACTTGCTAAGAATGATAATAAAAAAAATAATGGACAGATTATAACGCGTATGACTTGGTTAGCATAATAGTAAAGAGAGATTATAATGCGTACTTGCTAAAAATACATAAGCATTTATTATTGTCTGTATAGAATCTTCACTTACCTAACTCCATCTGCAATATCCGGAACTTGTGCAGAAACACTGTCAGGATTCATTGTTGTTATTATTTTTTATTATTTATTATGTACAAAAAACCTGTATACACTCAACAAAAATAATCGTCGCGACACCACACTGTTCAATGCGAAAAAGAAAGACGAAACGAAAATAACTGGCTTGCTTTCTGTGTGTGTGTGTATGTGAGAGAGAGAGAGAGAGAGAGAGAGAGACAGAGAGAGAGAGACAGAGAGAGAGAGAGGGAGAGAAACAGACAGAGAAACACAACTACAGCAAAAAGTGTCGTTACAACTTTTGGTCTTAATTTTTTCCGTCTAGCCCCCTTTCGCAACGCGCGATAAGGAACTTCGTTCCAAAAACCTTTTGCATGACATTTTTCCATATCGAAATTGAAGTTAAACAATAAGCAGTTTCAGTGTTTATTCATTCATTTATTCAATACAACCTGTCAAAAGTCTATAGCTGAAAAAAATTTTTCTCTATTAATGGGCTCATAGGGGCGAAATTAGCCATAGTTACCACACGTGGCAGGCGGGCTAGCAACCGCAGTTTTTCATTATTTTGCGCTGTTATAGGGAAGACGCTATTGCTCATTTCCTTTTTTTAGTTTTCACCTATTGCCTTGTACGCACCCACTGGATGATATGGGGTAGTGAATTTTCTACACCACCATTACATGGCGAATAAATGTATAATGATATAATATTGAGAGCTTAAGTAAGTAGAGCGGCCATCCACTAGATGGAGTAATGACCTGGAAGGACATGTAAGAATTGGATGGATGCAGGTGGCTCAGGACCGTGTTTTGCGGCTTTCCTTGGCGAGACCTGTGTTCAGCTTTGGGCTTGTGAAATGCTGTAATGACGATGATTGATGCATGCGTATGACTATGTTTCATTTCTTTTTTTCAGGGCGAAGCACAAAGGAACAAGCAGGTGAAAATATATTTAAGAATTAACGGGGTAGAAGAGAATAGTATCTATCTCGCGAAATCTATCAGTTTTAGTGAAGAAAGTCTTAATAGATGCATTTGACATCACTTTTGCCTATATAAAAGCACGTACAATATTGGAAAAGTTTTAATTATTAAAAACAGTTCCAGTATGACTAAGCAGTTGATGATTTCTATTTTTTTTTTGTTTATTTTGAACTAATGGAATTCCGCCGTGAGTTTAATAAGCACTCAAATGTTAAGTTATGCAATTACGAAGTTCAAATACTTTCTTAAGTTTTAAACTTTTTTAATTAAATACTCCTTTCTGTAAATATTTACGTTAAAAAGTGATTTAAATTTTTCCGATTATAACTTTAATGAGATTCAAAATTATGTCCCTAAAATTTAATTCGTCTATATGGAATATATTTAACTAATAAAATTATCAGTCAGAGTCCGTTTTATGTTTATTATTTTTAAAGTATTTGTTACAAATAAATACCTTTACTATGAGTAACTAAAGACAGACTTAATGCCTTATAGTAATGTCTGCCAGTCAACCCTGGTACCCTTTAATATTGTGCTAGGTTTAAACATCTTCTTTATACCTATAAAAAGAATTGTTCTGTCTGACTGACTGACTGACCCATAGAATACTATAATACATACATAAACTAAATAGAACGGGAGAGTGGGCGGAGCCCGTGTAGCCACTAAAATGCCACTAATACGTCAATTCACACGTATAAATTACAACACGAGATGTGTTTTGACGTTACAATCGTTTTCAAATTTCGCATGAAAATTATTTAGAAAATGCCAAATTGCACGCTATTTACAAATAAATATGTATTAAAATCCGTCTGTCAACACAGCTAATCGGGTTTGTAGTAGTGATTAACTGATAATACGACGTAATTGCTTGTATGTGTGCTCCTGGCGACGCCGAATCTCGTTCAAAATAAGATTGACAGCCTATTGTATTGTGTAAAATCTACCTGCGAAAATCGAGATACTTAGTATTATGCACTAGAGACGTTTTCAAGCTACTGGACTGGAAAGGATACGGTATTAACATCAATGGCGAGTACATCACTCACCTTCGATTTGCCGACGATATAGTCCTTATGACAGAATCGCTGGAGGACCTTAGCACTATGCTCAATGACCTCAATGGTGTCTCCCAACGGATAGGTCTTAAGAGAAATGAACAAATATGTTTATGTCCATGCCTATGCCGGTAGTTGTTGGGAGCACTATGCTCGAAGTTGTTGACGAGTACGTTTACCTGAGACAAATAGTCCGACTAGGTAAGTCCAACTTCGACCGAGAGGTCAATCGACGGATTCAACTCGGCTGGGCAGCGTTCGGGAAATTACGACACATCTTCTCGTCAGGTGTACCTCATCTCTGAAAACTAAAGCGTACAACCAGTGCGTGTTGCCAGTGATGACTTACGGATCAGAGACGTGGTCCTTCACTGCTGGCCGTATGAGGATGCTCAAGGTCGCTCAGCGAGCTATGGAGAGGGCTATGCTCGGAGTTTCTCTGCGTGATAGACTCAGAAATGAGGATATCCGCAGTAAAACCCGAGTGACCGACATAGCCCAACGGATTAGTAAGCTGAAGTGGCAATGGGCCGGCCATATAGCTCGAAGAACCGATAACCGATGGGGAAGAAAGGTTCTCGAGAGGCAGCCTTGTACCGGTAGGCGTAGTGTAGGGCGACCCCCCACTAGATGGAGTGACGACCTGGTAAGACATGCAGGAAGTCGATGGATGCAGGTGGCTCAGGACCGTGCTTTGTGGCGTTACTTGGGGGAGGCCTATGTTCAGCAGTGGACTTGTGAAGGGCTGTAATGATGATGATGATGATGATGCACTAGAGCGGTTATCTGTAATTTTTTTGCAGTTATTATGGTTATTTTGTAACTTTACTTTAGCCACAGCGCTAAAAATTACTATGCCGTCTAGTCAGGTATCACACAAAAGGTAGCGCTAGATTGTTGAAAGGTGTAGTTAGCAGGCTCAATAGCAATGCTCGCGAGAAAAAAGTCGTAAACGCCGCCAAAACGGCGTCGTTTACGCGTTTTGTTCAATAAGGTACGAAGATTTCGTGTGCCTATAGAATAAACAAGCGGTGAAGAACGGCCAAACCTCAACTTTGTAATAGGTAACATTAAACTAAAACGCCCAAAAACGAACTCACGACTTCCTAGGCTGCGGAGGCTGCACATAAATGTATATTTATAAAAATGGGAAAAGTTTTTGATTACATTTTTTTATGCACACGATTATGTTACGTGGTTCACGGCTTTTAATTTATCAAGCCCTGAAATATCGTTAATTATATTATATTAACATAATATATGTAAATTGTAATTTAAATTATAATATACTATGTGTATTAGCGATGTGATTAAGTTTAATTAGGTTTGTATTTTTGGTTTTTTGTTTGTATTAGCGATGTTTTTTGATTTGATTACGTAATAGGTATACATTGTACTTTTTTGTGTGTTGGTTTCTCTTTACTAATATGGCTGTAGAAATATTTTGCTCAAACGGCGCAATGGTGCCACATACTATAGTGCCAATTATTGGTGACGGAGCTTGCTTATTATTTCGAGCCATAGCATACATAATATATTATGATACTCAAGTTGTGGCTCGGGAGATACGTGAGGAAATAGTAGACCACGTGATGGAGCAGTGGGACGACTTTTCCATTATGTCCTACGACAGAAATGGAAATAATTTTAACACTTCTGCTGACTACTATCCCAAAATACCTTAACCTTATACATATGGTGGTTTGTGCGAATTAGTCGCTGCTAGGAAGATTTTCTCTTGTGTCTTTGAGTTTTATCGTAATGATATTTTATGCAAGAAATTTGGTAGAGAAGAAAACCCCGTGCATAGATTACGCTTTAGTACTTCATATAATCTCTCTTATGGACATTACAACGTTTACATTACTGCAGGTATGTCGAATTCAGTTTCTACTTCTTAGATTGAATGTTATTCTACTTCTCAAATTGAAATTTCTCCTACTTGTCAAATTAAAAGTTCTTCTACTTTTGAGTTCTGCGGTGGAAAATTATCACACACACAGTGATCCACATATTCATAGAGTAGCTGTTTCTAGGCATGCAAGGAATAATCCAGGAAAACGATCAGAAAGACGATTACGTCCATGGAAAGTAAAAGCTTTATCTGAGCTGATGTATGATCCTATTTTTAATGCTGTGAATCAAAAAGGTATACAATGTTTAGCATTCAAATGGAAAGAAGAGGTCCATGGCATGTGCTGCGGCGGTGGTGAAGTGAAACTCCCCTCCTTATATATATATATATATATATATATATATATATATATATATATCCTCAACAAGAGCCAAAATTTCCGCAAATTTATTTCGTTGGTAAAGTCGAAAGTGAAGCAAGTTTAAGACGCAACAATTTTCCTGATGTAAAACCTAATCTGGTTAAACAATTGAGCAATGTTGCATGAAAATGATTTCTATATAAGGGACCTAAAAATAACTCTTCAAAAGGTACCTGAAGGTTGTGGTGAGTTAGAAGTGGTTATTCATGCTGATAGAAAACCAGCCCGTGCTCGTATGGGATGCTTTAATGCACAGACAGCAAGTTAAGTTGTTCTGGTCATAGTAGGGTAACAAAAATAGTATTACAAAATCACGCTAACAATAATTTACGTCGTATCAGTGAATTACACCGCTCATACGATAGCTTGCAATATCCACTGACTTTTTCTTATGTGATGGTAGGCTTTCTATTGATATACATTAATATGATTCTAAGACAAAAATAACTTCTTCAAAAAACTGTGTCGGCACTAAATTTTTAGTCTTACCGCATTATGGTCAGACAAGTAGACGACGCGACGGTTTATTTAATACGTAATCGACATGTGCGCAAAAATTTAAACAAAAAAATTAAATTACATTAGAAAAAACCAAGTGCAGCTCAGAGCAGATAGTTATGTATGTACATTGGAAAGTTGCAATAGTAAGGCAGGACACCAATATCGCTTAACTTAGTCAGGTGGTAGTACTACCTTCGTCTTTAACTAGATCACCTCGACATATGTACGAAAAGACTCAGGTTGCAATGATCTGCTTCTGCCGTTACTGTCGCCCTGATTTTTATATTACACTAACATGCAATTTTCGATGGAAAGGTATTTCAAATGCATTGCTGCCTGGTCAGAAACTTCATGATCGACATGATATAGCACGGGTATTTTATTCAAAAGTTAAAGTATTATTGGCTGTACTAAAAAGGGGTTTGTTTGGAAAACTTCGTTGCTATATGCATTCCGTCGAATGGCAGAAGTCTACCTCATATCCATATTTTGCTGTGGCTAGAACAGCGGATTTCTGCTGTCAATAATTCATTTGCCGAAATACCGGATCCTGAAAAAGATCCCGACCTTTATGAAATTATCGAAGACAATATTATCCATGGACCTTGTGGAAATTTGAACAACAAACCTCTATGTATGAAAGGTGGTATTTGTAGCAAAACGTACCCTTGAAATCTTCTGAAAAAAACTTGCACAGTTGAAGACGGTTACCCTAAATACAGACGAAGGTCCCGTAGACGGTTGTTTCATTCGAGCGTTCTTCTAGCGAGTGTAACCCTAGACAACTGATGGGTGGTACCTTATAATCCAGTTTTTTCTCGAACTTTTGCTACTGCATATAAACATAGAATATTGTAACTCTGTAAAATCAATTAAGTATATGTGGTAAATATGTGAATAAAGAATTCGACCAGGCATCATTTCTTGAAAATGATAATGATAAAGTAAAATTATACGAAAGTGGTCGCTAAATAAGCAGCTCCGAAGCCGTCTGGAGAATCCTGGCGTTTCCCATTCACGAAAGATTTCCAGCAGTTTTTTATCTTGCAGTGCGTTTAGAAAATGGCTAGCGTGTGCATTCCAATTCCAATACCTATAATTTAGCTGGCAAATTAAACAATCCACAAAAACTACTCTAATAGTATTTTTAAATCTTTGTAAAACGGATAATTGTGAAAAAATTATTTTTACGTTAAAGTGCCTTTATATTTTGTGTGGAAAGTAAGAAATTTGAAAGGCAGAAGCGTGGAAGCAACGTCGATGGTCGAGTATCAAGCTCTGGGCAGAGTGTACACTGTACACCCTAATAACCCTGAATGTTATTATAGGCGTCTTCTTTTTCACGAAATTCGAGGGCCAACATCATTCACATATTTAAAAACTGTTGATGGGGTCATATATGCCACATACCAGCGTGTAAAGCTATAGGTTTACTTTAAGATGATAAATACTGGGATGTCACTAGGGAAGAAGCTGCTTTTTGGGATAGTCCTTTTAAATTGCGAGAACTATTTTAAAATATTAATGGAAAAAAAATTTAAAATTTGGAAAGGGGATATAAAATAAAAGATAAAAGAGAGGTATGTTGGTTGTTTTTTTTTATCAGTTTGGCATTTAAAAATTAATTTTTGGGGGAGGGGTTAAATATTAAAAGATTTATTTATAGGGGGGTGGTAGAAGGGGGGGGGTGGTTTTTGGTTGGGGGGGGTTTTTTTTGTTAATAGTGGGGGGGATTGTTTTAGATTAAAGAAGGCAGGGGCTAAATACTTCCATTTGGCACGTTCCTGACACACCTCTCTCGCCTCCTCTACATCCATATATCTACGCATACATGCTCGTCGGTTAAAGGTACTCCTGATTTGGCCCGTTTTCAATATATTGCCAATTTGGTCGATAAACTTTCGCCTAGGACGTCCCTTTCCGACTGTGCCGTTCATTTCTGCAACATAAATTTGATTTTTCACTCTTTCCTCATTCATTCTTTCCACATGACCAAGCCACTGAAGCATTCCTTTCTTAATCCTGATCACAACATCATTTTGAAAACCACACTCTTCTCTTATCACACAATTTCTCACCCTGTCAGTCAGATTCAGACCTAACATACTACTTAACGACCGCATTTCTACTGCGTTTTTTCTACTCTCGTGCTTCTTCTGCCACACCCAACTTTCACTATTATACGTCAACCATCTCAGTCACGCTTCCCCCCCCTCTACTCGTGACTACGGGTACTGTAAAACAGCCAAAACGTCGGTGATTAAAAGTAAGTACATTAAACGCGATAAAATCCATATAATAAGTAGTTTTATTCAAATGTCACATGTAAGTTAAAATTAAACAGCTCGTGATTATTTAAAAATTGGAATTACGTATAATTAACTCTTAGCTTCTGAAAGTTATTTACGTATATTTAAGCCAAAAGGAATTAAGAAATGTTCAAAGTTAGAGAGAAAATTAATGAAAAATCCCATGCCGTATTTGTTTATAACCTACATTTATTACGTAAGGCATTGGTTGGTTTTTAAGATGCGCATAGGACTTGGATAACTAAAAATTAGGTATTTTAATTATCTCTTTTATGAAACGTGCACTTAAACGCACTAAATTAATATAAGAAATTAAATAACTTAAGAATTTAGTAATATTTAATAAATTTACTAACAACAATATAATGATATGGCTACAGATAAATTAGAATGAGATTAAATGTACGTAACGACACGGTACACTCAATTTAACATAGATGAGCGTCCGTAAAAGTTTTTGACGGTTTACTATTTATTGGACGGCGATGTAGGTCAGCGAGAATCAGGAGTATGCAACAACATGCCGAGAGCCACAAGTAAAAGAGAACACGCATATACAATATGTAACAAAAACTAGAGATGGGCCGAATATTCGTTTTATATTCGGTATTCGGCATATTCGGCAGCTTTACCGAATATTCGTATTCGGCCGAATATTTGGCTAAATTACCGAACATTCGTTAAAGTGGTACTCATAGTGTCCACTGAATAGAAATGTACGAATTGAGTAATGCCATGTCTTTTACTGTTGAAAATAAATTCTATTTATGGGTTAAATGTCAAATCTGCTTGTATAGTTTTATGTTTTTGAGGCAATGTAGATTTATTTCTAATTATAGCAAATAGAAAGCTTGATAAAATGTTTTGGAGTCATACAAAAAAACATTACATTAGTACATTTCACTTTACTTTGGTCGTCACTTTCTCTAAAATAAGTCCAAATAGTAGATATCCTGCCACTCATTTTTATCATATAATTATCAACTTTCATTAGGAATAACACAACCAAATACTTTTTTCTCACAAAAATAGTCAAAACATTTGTTCATAACTAGATGATGAGCGAGGGGCAAGGTCCAGCGCTAATCTCGCGCGCTTTACGTACACAAGTTTCGACATAAATTGGTTAGGTACAAAGGTGATGCTACCGAATAAAATTCAGCCGAATATTCGGTTTGGTAAAAGTTTCACCGAGCTTTCGGCCGAATATTCGTATACGGTGAAATCCATATTTGGCCCATCCCTAACAAAAACCCTGTGGTTCCCGTTAAGTGTGTTATCAGAATCAGTATCCAAGCGTATAGAAATATTTTTTTCAAAAAAACGTTTAAAAAAATTAATTTTAATGAAAAAAAATTAATTTGCAAATTGTGTGGTTTTATTTCCTCTAACTCACACGTGTATCGGTAATGTGGGGTTTTTGACAATCCTCTTACTCCTCGGCCAATGCAGAGGTAATAAAACCACATACAATTATCAAATAAATTTTTTTTCATTAAAATTAATTTTTAATGTGTTTAAAAAAATTCTATGTGCTTGGATACTGATTCTGATAGCACAGTTAACGGAAACCACAGGGTTTTTGTTACATTTTGTATA